GATGACTGAAGAACTAAGGAAACAAGTCAAGAACTCGAAACAGCATTTTGAAACTAATAAATCTTTCAGAATAGAAAGCTGAATTACTGAAATAAAAGGCTTGCATTACAATTAAAATGACAGCTATCTTAGAATTGTTAGATGGAACCTAATAGAAATGGAAGACAAAAAATTATCCAACAGATGGATGTGATTCCTTCAATAGATAATCCATCAAATGGAACAGAAGATATAGTTAAAGACAAAATATAAATTATTTTCCTGAAATGAAGATAGAAATGACAATAATGACCACAAAATTCCCAATGAAAGAAAGAATATTCTGAGACTGTTATACCCAGCCCAACATTCTTCCCTCAAGGAATAGAGGACACATTAATCACTACTGAGACAATGACTTCAAAATCAAATCCAGGGCTGAGATGTAGCTCAGTGGTATAGTGCTTGCCTAGCATGCACCAGGTCTCGGGTTCAATCCCTAGTACCACCCTCTTCTTCCCCCAAGAAAAAAAGAAAAGACAAAGAAATCCAGATGCAATTAGGAGTTGAGCTATTATAAATAATTCAGGAATGTGGAAGTCATGGGGAAACGGCTGGTGATGAATGTTGAGTCTAAATAAAAAACGAACAGTGAAGAACTATGGGAAATGTTATTTATATCACTGAATTTGGATGTTATAAATCTGGAAAATTAAAAATAATCATAGTATACCTTTTAAAAATCAGGGAAACAAAAGAAGTGATGAGAAGAAACATATGTTAATGCTCTCTCATTTTTTCCTAGCAGCGATTAATTGTACTAAAAGTTGAAATATGTCACTTTTAAAAATACGCCAGCACTTAATTGTCATTTTCTCCCTCTCCCTCTTCCTCTATCCTAACCCCACAACCCTCCCTCTGCCATACTTTACTCCTTTCATAAAGTAATATTTAATTATAGCTCTCATACTAAAACATCTATTTAAAATTCAATCATTCCTTCCATTTCACTATAGCCTTTTCTTTCATTGAATTCAAAATAAAATTAAATTACTAAAATGAATACCTTTAATCAAAAAGCACTTATTTTAGGGCCGGGGATTTAACTAAGTGGTTCTGCCACCTGCCCCGAAAGTACGAGGACCCGAGTTTGATCCCTGGTGCCAAAAAAAAAAAAAAAAAAGAGCACTTACTTTATAGCCTCACTTTAACAAAATAATTATAGCTATCCTGTAACTGCATAACCACATCAAGGCAGATCTGAGTAGTATCCATAGTATAGTTACTTTTGGGTGGTGAGATATTTTTGGTTTTCTCCTATGTGAATTTTTCTGGGATTTTTTGATTTCCTTAAAACAAGCACATAAAAACAATGCCAAAATTCCATCCAAGAAAGCCATCATCCAGAAATCAAATAATAACAAATGCTGGCCAGGCTTCGAGGGAAAAAGGAGCCCTTCTACATTGCTGGTGGGAATGTAAATGCGTACAAGCACTACGGAAATCAGTATGGAGACTCCTCAAAACACTTAAAATAGAAATTCCACTTGACTCACCTATCCCCCCTTCTAGGTATCTTCCCAAAAAAGTGGAAGACATCTTATTACAGTGATACGTGCTTACCCGTGATTATAGCACCACAATTCATAACAGCTAAATCTTGGAAGCAGCCTGTATGTCCAGTGACACGTGAATGGATAAAGAAAATGTGGTATTTACACACAGTGGAGTACTACTCTGCCATAAAGAAGGATAAACTTGAGTCATTTGTAGGAGAATGGATGCACCTCGAGACCGTAATGTTAAGTGAAATAAATCAGGCACACAGGCTTAAACAGCGCATGGTCTCTCTTACACGTGAAGCCCAAAATATAAATAAAGAGCAAAATAAAAGATAAGTACAGTACTAGGAAATAGGGAGATCAATCTTTTGCAAAAGGCAAGGGGACCCGGAGATGGAGGGGGAGGAGGGGCAAGGAAGGACGGGATGGAAGAAGAAGTTCAGATGTGTTGCGTGCACCAACTCCCCATGAGAAATGCAGTTGTCACGTACTGCAAACAGGTACTAATAAAAAATCTTCATTACATTTAAAATAAAAACAAGCCCGTTACTTCTTTCAAAAGACAACAGATTGGCTGTTATTAACCGATACCACACGTGAGGATCCCAAGATGTTAAAGGAGAGAGGCGGGAAGAGAGGGGGCGGCGGCAGGAAGAGAGGGGGCGGCAGCGGGAAGAGGCCTCCCGCTGACTTGCTTTCCGGGAGGGCGGCCTAAGGTCTGCAGCCCGAGATCCCGAGCTACCGTGCCGCTGGCCAGCAGCGCAGACCGCACAGGGGCGGGGCTCCAGCCTCCCTCCGCCTCCCGCGCTCCGGGAGCTGTCGCTGCCCCCGCTCTGGTCCGCCCCAGAGAGGATCCCTGTGAGACCCAGCCTGGCTGCCCGGGAGGGCACCGGCCTCCAAACCGAGCCGCCCGAGGGCCTCCTGGGTGCGGAACCCCGGCCTCTCGCACCGATGTCCCCTCCCCGCGCCTGGCCGGGCCCAAGGCCACCGCACCGCGGAGCCCTGACTCCTTCCTGATCCGTCGTCTGCCAGCGGTGGGAAGAGCCCGGGACCTGAAGATAAACAGAAGGCTCGTGCTGTTAGCAGAGCGCTGTCTCTTCTGGTCCCTGGTCCATGGGCGAGTCACTCTGCGCCTAAAGACCCCTCCCCTTTTATTTATTCTTTTATTTATTAGTACATAGTGTTACATTCCTGGTGTGGAGTTGGTACACGGACCCAGCACAGCGAATTCATTTTTCCATGCCCTTTCCCTTCCCTCTCTCTTTTCATCCCCTTCCCATCTGAGAAAGATCTATGATCTATCCTTTATTTTGCTCTTTATTTATACTTTAGGTTTCCCATATAAGAGAAACCATTCAATATTTAAGCTCGTGTGCCTGATATACTTCACTTAACATTATAGTCTCAAGGTGCATCCATTTTTTTACAAAGGACTCAAGTTTATCCTGCTTTATGGCACAGTAGTACTCCCCTGTGTGTAAATACCGTATTTTCTTTATCCATTCATCTGTCGCTGGACATATAGGCTGCTTCCAAGATTTAGCTATCATGAATTGGGCTTTTTTCTCTTTATTTTCAAGGTAGAGAAAATCCCATCCACATCTCAGGGTCAGAGTAAGGATTAGAAATAAATTAACTGTGTCCAGGGCGTTGGGGTAGCAGCAGGCACGTTGTGTATGCTCGATGAAAATGTCCCCCTATCCTTTTGGGAGGAAGCTGCTGCGTAGGGGTCTTGCTGATGGCTCCGGGCGCTGGCCAATGCTGGTCCAAACTTGGCCAGGAGTGTCCACAGCATCACCTTCCTGAGCCAGGAACCAACCGTGCCTGCTATCTGGACAGCTTCAGCCTCACATCCCAAGGGCAGTGACATGTTTCAGGCTCAACTTGCGATCTGCCCCTCTCCTCTAAATCGGCTCCTTTGCCAGGCACCCTGCTCAGCACCCTCTGGGAGAGACCTGGGATTATCCAGACCCAGCTTTCTGCTCCTCCAACCCCAGGTCTGTTGGTTCTTCCTCTACACAGCCCCAGGGGACCTTCCTTCTCTCTGCCTCGGGTCAGTCCTGCAGTCCTTGTCTCTAGAAGTTGCCAAGCTTCTGAGATGCCTCCTGCACTGGGCCTTTCCCCTCCAAGGCACCTTCTCTGTTGGAAAGGGGAGATCTTTCTGCATGCCTCCCTCACCACGGCCGAAGTTTAAAACTCTTCCATGCCCCACCACCTGCCCCTCAGCAGGCCCAGACTGCTCAGCATGATGTCCTGTCCCTCTGCCTCCTCCTCTGCCTGTCCAGTACTCCCTGTCCTCCTCTAGCCACACAGCACTCTTCACTGTCTCCTCAACACTCCTTGCCTTTCTGAACCTCCAAGCCTCTGTGTGTGCTATTTCCTCTGCTGAGAAGGCCCCTTACCCTCTCTCTCATTTGCCTTGAAAACATCCTCATGCTTCAGGTCCAAACTCAAATGCCTCTGTTCAGGCAGGTGTTCTCTGCTCGCCTCAGGCAGAGAACTCACCATCCCTTCTCCTGAGGACCCATGCCTCCTTTTCCCCACACGGCCCACAGTTCGAGTATCTGACACTCACAACCTAAAGGAGGAGAGGTTGAATTTGGCTCATAGTCTCAGAGGTTTCCATCTATGAAGGTCAGACTCCAAAGATATCATGGCAGAAGGGCATGATGGGACACAATGGCTCGGCTCTAGACAGCTGGGAAGCAAGATGGGAACGGGGCTAAAGAGAATCTACTCAAGCTCCACATATAATACCCTTACAACCCACCCAAACAGACCCAGGGCACACTTTACTGATCTGCTAGGCGTTTCTTAAGCCAATAAAGTTGACAAATCACAGGTCCCACAGCTGGCTTCTTGGAATTCTGGAACCTTCTGGAATTGTATGTGCACGTGCACATCTTTCTGAGGAGAGCCTCTGAGGCTTCGTTTGGATTCTCAGAGGGGTTCTTATGCCAAGTAGATAGAGAATTGCTAATTTAGCAAAAGAGAAAAAAAACTAGGAGGGCATCCTGGCTGAGAAGCGCTCTAAAACCACCCAGGTGCTTTTGTTTACCCCAGTGTCACCGTCGGGATGCTCCTCTCAGGCAATCTGGTCTCCCATGGGGCTTGCCTCTGGGAAGAGAATGCAGTGAGCCACTGTTGGGGCACCTTGCCACAGACGAGCGCTATTGTTCAATATGAAGTAAGAAATAGGGAAAGGGGGGCTGGGGATTTCGCTCAGTGGTTCCACCGCCTGCCTCACAGGTGCAAGGTCCCAAGTTCAATCCCCAGTGCCAAAAAAAATAAAAAGAAATAGGGAAAGGGGAACACATTATGTCTAAGGAGCCCCAGGTACAAGGACAGCAGGACCTGGGAATGATAACCAGTATGTGTTGAGCATTTATTCCAAGTGTTTTCAGTATTATCCACTTCATCACCACAAACTTGTGTGAGAGAAATTACCTCCATTTTTATTTAAGGAAATTAAGGTTCATTAAGATGAAGAACTTTTCTCAGGGTTACACAGCTGCCTGCCTTCTAAGATCATGGGTTTTTCATGCTGATACCAACTACCACATCCGCCTAAGTGATGGTAACTGGGGATATTGTGCTAATGTCCCGATTCCCCTCCAAATGTTTCTGGCAGGGGACCCTGCCTCCACCCCTGGCCACAGGTATATGAACCTGGTTACCCCTGGATGGAGAGAGATTTGAGAATAAAAACATGACTCATGCCAGGCCCATCTGGGCTCTTCCCTGATTGTTGAAAATGGAAACAGCATGGGAGGCCCTTTGCCTCCTGGGCCTCACAGAAAGCTCACCCACTGAGAGGAAATAAAGATGCAGAGACCAGAAGAGATGAGAGAAAGGCAGCAGAAACAGGAGTTCCAGCTCCCGTTCTGGAAGTTCTTCCTTCCACTCTGTGAACTGACCTTATTACATCCTGGCAGAGACAGTCCTCTGATGGAAGAGAGTGTCATAGAATAGCAACACCCAGCGTGGCAGGCCTGAATTGCACCTATTCCTCACATCAAAACTTCGAGGCAGGTTCCATTCCAGTCCCAAAATGGAGGCACTAAGGCAGAAAATCATAAAGCAAATTGCCCAGGTCACATAGAGGCGAGTGGCAGAGAACTGAGGAGGTAGAGCTCCAACTCAGTGTAGACTGCTGTCCATCAACATTATGAAATGCATGTCGGTATTTGGATCCTGTCGGTGAAAGCAGAGGAAAGTTATGTCTCAGTTGGGGAAATATCTGTCTGGATGTCTCCAATGAGGTGTGCTTGCCCCAGGAGATACAGGGACTCCTCCTAGTTTATTTTATCTAGTCAACCACTGCATTAGTGTCTGCTGGAACTCATAATCCTCCTGCCTCAATCTCCTCAAAAGCTTTATTTCTTGCATCTCTGCTCAGCTCGGTACTACATGTCTTCTCAATCCAGCACTGAGGCTGAAGGGGTAGCTCACACTTGAGACTTGCAGATCTTATGACAGAAGGTAAGGGGTCAAACAAAGTATGCGATCGAATTGAACACTTCCGCTCAGAGGCGGCATGAATCATGGCTACTCACATTCCATCGGTCAAAGCAAGTCACCTGGCCAACCCTACCGATGTAGTCCACCTACTGAAAGAACTCCTGAAATAAATATATTCCTTACTACAATCCCTCTAGGAAGCCACGCAGCAGAAGGTGTGGATATATAATACCCTGAGAGGGAGGGAGAAGATGGCTGCAAACAATAACACAAGTGATTATACCAAGAAATGAACAAGTGCTACAACAATGGGGCCTATGACAAGTCTACCTTTCATCACAGGAAGCCCTCCAGCAGGGCTGATGGAAAGAAGGAGAACAAAGAGCTCCCAAACTCCTCACTGAGTCTCAGCTGCAGAACGCCAGGTTCCAGTGGTGAACACAGAAAGTTCTCAAAGCCAGAACTTTCAACATCTGGAGCCCAAACAGAGACCTAACAAAAGATCAGAATATAGTGGCCCCAAGGGATGCCTGATGAATGTATCATAAGAATAATTATCATCTCAGGGCATTGGGTTATGAGTAATTTCCCCTCCTGTGCTCAGCTGCATTATTGTGGTACTTTCATAATTATACAAACAAGCATCTTTTAAAACACATGTCCTTCCTGAAGCCCAAAGCAGCATGAGGCAGCAGAGGGAATTACTTCACAGTGCCAAACCTCACAACATTAGGGAAAGTCTGTGTATCAGACGAACATACCAAAGTCACGGAATTTCAATCCCTTGGCATAAATGGTGCTGCCGTCTTCTGTAATAACTGACAAATGGGAAAACAATTCTCAGGATGCTCTTTTCCTTCAGTATTTTTTGTTTGTTTGCCTTTTTTTTTTAAGACAACTTAGACTTCATTTCCCAAATCCAGACATTCCTGTAATTTTCCACTAGCAGATTCCATCTGAGGTCAAAATGAGAGAAAGGCCACCTCGAGCTCTGTATCCGGGAGATCCAGAATTTTCTTCTGGCCCCAGAAGGGAGATTAGGCAACAGGGGTTTAAAAATGTCTTAGCTGGCACTGGACAGTTAGAAGCCAGCCCTGTGGTTTTGTAACAGGTGAATATGAGTCTGAGTCAAGCTGAGCCTAATAATGGAATGTACAGTACTATTCATAGGGACTGAAGCCATGGGCTTTGGAGTTACACAGCCCTTTAAACTTTGGCCCTGTATTTGAAAGCTTTGCAACTGTAAATTATTTAATTTCCCTTGCCTCTATTTTCTCCCTGAAGTAAATGTGATAATAATAGCATCTACTTCATTGGGATGTGTTTTCAGTATTAAATACAGTAACCACATCTAAAGTTTCCAGCCCAGTACTTAACAGATAGTGACCAAATAACAAATTTTGGTTATAAACCCTGGTGTAACAGGGATAGAAATGATTGATATATGCTTCTTTTTCCCATTAAAGAAAAGCTGGTGTTACCTGGTGAGTATTTCTCCTTCTGCCCCTTCTGCTCTTCTGCCCTTCTGCCCTTCTGCCCCCAGTACCTGCCACTGTGGGGTCTCATGTGGAAATCGGCCAATCAGTGGAAGAACCAGAGAAGTATGAAGAGGGACTGGCAAGAGAGTTTGCTAAATAGAACTCCAAAAACCCAAGGAAACATTAAGAGAGAGAAGGAGATGAATAGGGGAGGGGGAAGAGGGAATATTTGTGAAACTGTTGAAAAGAGTGGAGAATAAGAAACAGGATGAGAGACCCGGAGCTGTTGCATAATGTGAGAGAGGCAGCAACTGGGGTAATCAGGAAAGTAGATTGAATGAGTTTTCCACTGGTGCAAAATGCTGGTGCTGGGGCCAGGGATTTAGCTCAGTGGCACCACACCTGCCTTGCAAGCCCAAGGTCCTGAGTTCAATCCCTGGTACCAAAAAAAAAAGTAAAAATAAAATACGTTGGTGCCAATTGCCCATCAACTGGAGATTGGGTAAAGAAGATGTGGGTTGTTTTTTTTATAAAATGGAGTACTACTCAGCCATAAAGAATGAGAAACTAGATTCATTTATAGCTAAATGGATGCACATTGAGGCCATACTCTTAAGTGAAATAAATAGGACAAATGTGTAAATAGTTTCTCTGGTGTGAAAAACTAAAAGTGTAAATAAGGATCAAAATCTATAATTGATAGTGTGAAATAGGAAGAAAAAGTCTAAAGGAGTAGGGGAAGTGGGAGGGGTAGGGGAAAGGAAAGAAGGGAAAAGAAAAAATATGAGAAAAGGAAAAAATGGAAACAAAGTTTTTGTAAATAGGGAAGGGAGGGCAGGGGAATGGGGAAAAAATAAGACCCAAGATACAGCATGTAAAGGTACAAATTCCCAGTGATGAATGTAACTGTATTGTATAGCTAAAATGTACCAATAAACTTAATGGAAAAAAAATGCTGGTGCTGAAAGTCGGCGGGCCCTGAAGATAGCTCCCTCACAGGGCTGCTGGCAAAGGCCTCTGTTCCTCACTACAGGGCTCCCCATAGAGCAGTGAGTCTTCAGTGACATGTGAGTGACCCAAGCCAGAACAAGGGGGAGACTGCAAGGCCTTTCCTGTCCTCATCTTGGGAATTACACCATCACTTCTGCCATATTCTTTCATTAGAAGAGAGTTATTAGGTCCATGCCCCACTGAAGCGGAAGGGCAAAATCTACACCTTGCGAAGTGGGGAGTATCAATGTATGCACAAATTTTAAAATTAGTAGCAAGATTTTAGGGAGTGTTTGTGCGGACTGTGAATTTGATTTCTTTCAATATTATTAGGGGGCTGCAGGTGAGGCTTGGAATTATTTTTACTTTTGGCCACACAGGTTTTGTCGTGGCTTTTGTTGTGGTCACTAGACTGGCCTGTATTGTGGTTTATCTGGTTTTACCATGGGTTTATCTGTATAATGTTAACAATAAATTTAAGTACTGTTATAGAATGATGTATAGAAAGATTTCAGGTAATTGGCAACTTGGAGTAAGGAGGAAAATGGATGAATCCTTTCTTTGAAAGCAGTGTCCATCTAAGGAGAAAGCATAGAGGAAACACGGGCCGGGGATTTAGCTCAGTGGTTTCGCTGCCTGCTATGCAAGCGCAAGGACCCGAGTTCGATCCCTGGTACCAAAAAAAAAAAAAAAAAAAAACCCAAAAGAATAGAGGAAACGTTTCCCATAATGTCTGAAGGGACTGTGGTATGAGTTTTCCACTTTGATGCTGGAGACAATGGGTTTGTTCCCTTTCCTCTGCTCAGCCCTTTCCAGTCATCTTTGCCTTCCGACTCTTTTTCAACATGCCAACCTCATTCTTGCCCCTGAGCCCTTACATACACTGTTCTCTCTGTCTAGAATCATCTTCCCTCCAATCTTCATGTGACATTTCCTCCTTGTCACTCGGATCTCTAATGACAGTTCATCACATAGGCTTTCCCAGAATGCACTCTTTCATGAGAACTCCTTCTCCATCACTCATTTTATGGATTCCCCACCCTATTTTATTTCTTCATTCCACTTTACTTGTTGTTTGCTGTCTGCTTTAATTGGATGAAACTTAATAGATAAGGGATTTCTCTAGCTCACTGCTATATTTACCTCAAGAATACCTCACATTTAGTAGGGTTCAATAAAATGCTTACTAAATCTCACCATTCCTATATGCAACTTTTTTGTTCCATAGTTGATCGCTAGGTAGTGCTGTTCAGTCTCAAGATTTGGTTTCTTCAACTCTGAGAAATCTTTTACTGTTATTCTTTGATAATTTCCTCTCCCATCTTTTCTGTTTTTTCTTTCTGAACCTCATACTGGTAAGGTGTTAGGCCTTCTAGATTACTGTTTTAAGTTTCTTGTGTTTTCCCCCTCATGATGTCTCATTGTCTTTGTATTCTACTTTCTCATACAGTTCCTTCAATTTCTCTTCCAAGAGTTTGATTGAATTTCTAATTTCAAATATAATGTAATTTCCAAGAGCTCTTTCTCATTGCCTTATTTCCACTTCTTATAGCTTCTTGATCTTATTTTATGAATCAAATTTTAGTCTCCCTTGGCATAATTCTTAAGGTATTTTAAATTTTTCTTTCTGTTTCTTAAACTATTTGGCTTTCCATTAGGTTTTGAGGGTATTTGATTTTTATGTATATTATGCTTGTCTTTTTCATTACCTTTTTAGCGTCAATCTATGTGTCTTAATATTTTAAATATATCTCGTCTACATAGCAAATAGTTGGATCTTACAACAACCTCTTCCTCTTAGTGTATTTAGTCCATTTACATTTAATGTAATTACCAATATGGATGGGTTTAAGTATACCAACTTGATATCTGTTTTCCATTTGAACCTTCTGTTTTCTTTCCTCTGCTCTCTTTACCTGAGTTATTTTGGGTTAAATGAAATTTTTTAAGTATTCCATTTTATTTTCTCTATTAGTTTGCTACCTATAACTCTTTGGAGGTGTCGTTATCTAGTAATTTATCTAGGACTCACAACATTATCTTTAACTTATCGAAGATTATTATTTTCTAATTAATGCTGCACCACTTTCCTCTTCACACACAGACAGCTATATAATCCCACACATCAACTCTCTATTCTTTGCACACTTGCTATCATGTCACTTACTTCTATATACACTATGAACCCATGCTGCAGTGGTATTTTGCCTGAAAGAGTCAAATGCCATTCAGGAAGAAAGAAAGAGAAAAAGGAAGGAGGGAGACAGGGAGAGAAAGAGAAGGAATGAGGGAGGGAGAGGAGGAGGAAAGAGAGAAAAGGGGAGAGAGGAAGGAAGGAAGAAGAAGGGAGTAAGAGAAGAAATGAAGGAAGGAAAGAGGGTGAGAAGGAAGGAGGGAAGGAGAGAGGGAGGGAAAGAGGGGAGGAGGAAGGGAGAGAATCTTAATCCTTCTTCCCCAGAATGTACTGTATCCTTTTCCTCTGGCTGCTGTCAAGACTTTTGATTTTTTTATTTTCACCTGTTTGATGATGATAGGCCTAGATACAGCTCCCTTCACACTTACCCTGCTTAAAATTCACTGCTTCTTACACCATAAGTTGGTGTTTTTCAAAAAGTTAGGGAGGTTTTAGGCCACTGTATGTAAATATTACTCCAATTTCATTTTCTTCTGGGATTCTACTTAAACACATAAGAATATCTGATGTTTTTACATGTGTCCCTGAGGCTCTGTTCATTTTAAAATATTTTCTCTTCCAATTCTTCAAACTGAACAATTCTTACTGTTTTGCCTTCCAGTTCCCTCTCTCTGTCCTCTGCCATCTTAAATCTACTGTTAAATATCTCCAGGTATTATTCATTTCAGTTTTCACTTTCCACTTCTAGAATTTACATTTGTTCTTTTTTTTTTCATCTCTATTCATTTCCCAAAATTGCCTATCTGTTTGCTCTTTTAATTCTCTGACTATAATAGCTGCTTTAATGTTTTCATTTTCTGACTTGAATATCTGTGACATCTTGGGCTTACTTTTTACTGTCTGCTTTTTTCATGACTAAGGATCACATTTTTCTGTTTCCTTATATGTCTAGCACCTCTAAATTGGAAACCAGGTCTTGTAACTAATACATAGTAGTAGGGTCTTACTGTATACACAGCTGGATTTTTTTTATTTTCTCCTGAGCCATATTGATTCTGCAGTTCAAATTACTGGCTAATCATCTTGAATTTGTGTATGTTTAATTTTATGATTTGTTATAATGGATCTCTGGAAAGTCCAGTGTTTCTTAAGCACCTCCAATTTTGTTGGCTTCAGCTTCCAAACTTCACATCACACAACATTATTTCCTCTGTTAAAATGTTTTTTCAAGGGGAAACCCATTTTCTGGTCCCCCTCTTGTCTCTCTTAGACAGAAGCTATCCTTCTCTCAATAAATTTTCCTATACCATTTTTTTTTTTTTTTTTTTTTGGTACCAGGGATCGAACCCGGTCCTTGGGCTTTCGTAGCAGGTGTTGAAACCACTGAGCTAAATCCCCGGCCCTAAATAATTAACATTTAATAATCTTTTTCTTTCTTTTTGTTTTCTTTTGAACTGGGGATTGAACTCAGGACCTTGCACTTGCAAGGCAGGCACGGTGCCACTGAGCTAAATCCCCGGGGAAATTTTCCTATTCTTAAAAAAAAAAACGTTTTTTCAAAAATCTTCTCTCAAGTGTTAACTAAGCAGCTATATAACTTGGGGAGGAGAAGACAAAGCATCTGGGCACCGCAGAACATACCTGTAATCCCAGGTACTTGGGAGGCTGAAGCAAGAAGATTACAACTTCTTCAAGGCTATCCTGAACAACACAGTGAAATGCTGGCTCAGAATAAAATAAGCTGGATCTGGGGATGTAGCTCAGTGGTAGATCACTTACCTCACACAAGCAAGGCCCTGGGTTCAATCACCAGCACCTCAAAAAATAAAAAGACTTAATGCTTTCTCTAGTACTAGTGAATACTGATCTACACAGACCCATTTTTATCAACCAGGAACTACCTTTTAGGTTGAAAACAGGACCATATTATCCATTTGCACTATTAAAACCACTATGCAGAACAACTGTGTTACACAGTTGGTTGAATTGGTAGTGCCAAAAAAAAGAGATATGTCTACCTCCAAATCCCCAAAACCTGTGAATATGGCCTTATTCAGGAAACCGGTCCTTGAAAATTCAAGATCTTGAGATAAGATCATCTTGGATTATCCACACGGCCCCATACACAATGACAAATGTCTGCGCAAGAGACAAAGAAGAAGGACACAGGGAAACAAGAACAAGATCATGTGGAGATGGAGGCAGAGACCGGAGAATGGGGAAGAACCGAGGAAGGGAGTACTGCCCCAGAGCCTAAGGAGGGAGTGCAGCCCTGCCAGCTCCTCAACCTCAGACTTCCGGTCTCCATAACTGTGAGAGCACAAATTTCTCATTTTAAGCCACTTCGCTTGTGGTAATTTATTAGAGCAGACACAGATTAATACAAAGGAAACTAACATATATGTTCCCGGAAAAAGGCTGACACACCAGCCACACTGGATTCTTCCTGATCCTTTCTGTTAAGATTTGGTTTCCTGCAAGTTCATAGTTTCCTTTTGCTAGAACCTGCAGCCGGCCATCAGACCATGCTACTATTTCGATGTATTTTGTCCCCAGAAGGTTCACATGCTGGAGAATTGGTCCCTAATTTGGTGGTATTAAGAGACAGTAGAATCTTTAAGAGGTGAGGCCTAAGCAGGGTATGATGTGAACCCCTGTAATCCCAGAACTCTAGGAGGCAGAGAGGCAGGAGGATCCTAAGTTCAAGACCAGTCTGGGACAACTTAGTGACTTAGTGAGGCCCTGTCTCAAAACTCAGAAATAAAAAGAGCTGGGGTGTAGTTCAGTGCTAAGGCCCTGAGTTCAATCCCCATGCCAAAAAAAAGAAAGTTGAGGGTGAGGCGGCCTAGTGGGAAGTGGCTAGGTCCCAGAGGACAGTGCTCTGGGAAGGGGTTAGGACTCCTCTTGTGGACTGAGTTAGTACTCAAGAGTTCAACTGGTTATGACAGAGTACGCGTGGCCCTGCGGGCTTCCTGTCTGGCCACCTGACCTCTCCTTCCTGCACACGGTGTCACATGATGTCATATGCCACGAGTGACACAGACAAGGGGGCCACCGCCAGGGGCTGATCACATGCAGCTGGCAGAGCTTGCACTTCCAGCCATCAAAGCTGTGAGCTAATTAAACCTCTTTACTTTGCAAAGCACCCGGCCTTGAGTTTCTTCTTAGCAAAACAGAAAACATACTAATACAGAGGAGGTAGGTATATTTATGGGAAAACAGAAGAAAAAATTTTAATTGAGTGAATTAGAAAACACTTAATTTTCCTGCTGATTAGTAAATGATTACCATATGCTTGCATTGCAGCCTACATGGTATAGCTGAATGCTTTCAGCTGCAAGATACTGGAAAATCCCAAACCAAAATAGCTGTAGCCCCATGAACATTTACTCTCTCACATTCTTGAAGAGCAAAAGGTTGGAGGGTCAGAGTCAAGGTGATACAAGTGACACCGGTTACTTTTTAAGTCTGCCAGGTCATCCTTAAACTAATCAGGCACCACACCTTCAACCTGAGAGTGGGTCAACTTCCCTGAGGTCCACAAAGGGATGAGTGGAAATGATTAGAGGTGCTCCAATGAAGGACAAGGAAGAGGACAGGTGACAGAAGGTACTGACTATAAATGACAATGCAATAATACCAAAGTGCCCCATCTCACCCATTTTAAAATATAAAATACACGCAGCCCTTGGCGAAGATTCCTCCCCTGACAATTATACCCTCTTCTTCCCCCTCATTTGAATTTCAGGTTTATCATTCCCTTGTTTCATTTTATTTTTAAAATATATGTTTGTATGCCTAAGCAACATGCTATATTATTTTGTATATTTTTAAACTTAACATAGATAGGACCATACTATGGATACTATTCTGCAACTTATTTGCATTATTGATTACCATATTTGTAAGCTACATCCACAGGAATATTTGAAGTTCACATTTTCACTGATGTATGTCAGTGTATACATGGACCATGATGTCTTTATTCATTTTCCTGTTTGTGAGCATTTTCGTTTTTGTTTTTGTTTTTGTTTTTGTTTTGGTACTGGGGGTCGAACTCAGGTCCCTGCACTTGTGCAGCAGGTGGTGAAACCACTGAGCTAAATCCCCCGCCCTCAATTTATTTATTTTTTTTATTTTTATTTTTTATTTTTGGTACTGGGGATCGAACTCGGGACTTCCCGCTTGCAAGGCAGGTGGCAGAACCACTGAGCTAAATCCCCAGCCTCAATTTATTTTTTAAACTCTGCAAAGAAATCTGTTGTGGACATTCTCAGCATATGACTGCATATTTGTGAGAGAGTTGCTTCTAGGTACATAAATAGAAGAGTCATTATTGAATCAAAAGGTATATATATATCTGTGCAGAGACCTAGAGGAGGGGAGAGAAGAAATGAAGGGAAGCAGCCCCAACAGGGGGCATCTAAACACACCGACTTCTCAGCATAGGACCCTGATGAATGGACTTGGTTTTTTCCCTGCTGTTTTCAAATACCTCCTTCTCCTGTCCATAGCATGGGCCAGATTCCTAGGAAAAAAGATAAGAGTGCACCTCACCTAAGACAGAGTGGGCGGGGACTCCATCCAAACTTCACTGTGACAAATCTTCCTGCAATGGTTCTCAGTCAAGGCCAGTAGTGCCACCTGGAGGCAGACAGAAACATGTGGTGGTGTTTCCAGTGGTCTCCCTGCTTGGATCTTAGCAAGGAGATCTGAGGATGCTGAGCAGCCTCCACACACAGGGTGGGAACTGTCTGGCCTGAAAAGCCAGCTGTGCCCCTGCTTGGAGACACTGTCACTCTGGGAGGCCAGGGGAAGCCTGCAGTGTACATCAGTGTGGCCCCAGCTCCAGACTGGGCCCTGGCAGAGGGGCCTGATACACACTGCTAGGGAAGAACATGCGGGTGGACATAGATCCCAGGCACCAGCTCTGAACCCAAGTATCTGCTGCAAGCATGCTCTGAAAACCAGATGTTCACTCAGCAGGAAAAAGCAGACTAGGACGCTGGAGGGGAAAGACCTCCTTTGGGGAGGAGAGAGGGAAGTTTCTGTAGACGTAAGGAAACATTTTTGTTCTCACTTCCTGGACGCTATTGAATGTTGTGTCATCTCACAGGGAGAAGCAGAGCAGGGTGAGAAACACACAGGTGCTCAGATGCTGCAAGGCAGCCCAGACCCGAGCACCCTGTTGTTTGTGACCACTGATGAACATGGCAGGGCAGAATGCTCCAGGGTGCCTGCTGACGTGGGCTTTCAAGAGAACACAAGAGTTGGTGCCAAGACCGGCTTACAGGTGGGGAGCACAAGTGACCAGGAGCTAGACTTTCCAGCTCGGGGCACTGTGGCCATACGTCAGTCCGACACGAGTGACTCTGAGTGGTCAGACTTCTCGAAGTCTCAGCTTCTCATCTACAAAATGAGAATGAAGATATCTTCCCGAGAAGGTTGCAGGGGGATTAAATGAGATACGGCAAGGAAAGCACAAAATGCACTGCTCGGTGCTTAGTAAGCCCTTATTAGTATCATCATTACTAACTCTTTGAAAAGCAGCCCCAGACAAACAGCCAGTCATAAAGCTGCTGACCACCTCGGGGAAAAGAATAGATGTTCTGCCATTTGACTGGAGGACGTGAGCAGACCGGGAGAACGCCACGTTCTCAAGAGACATAAATGAAGTAATTTTATTCTGCCTCTAAGTCATTTTGTTCCCTGGCTGAACAAGGCAGTGTTGTGACTCACACTTTAAATTATAATTGTGCTTCTATATCCCTCTAGTGATAAATATTTCATTTTTAGCCCCTTTTTTTTTCAAAAATGAAGGTCTTCCACCCCATTTCTTCCCATTCAAAGGTTATAACCCTCCCAAAAAAAAAAAAAAAAGCTCCATGGGCTCCCTGAACCCCAGGCCTTTGCAGGTGTTTTGCTTGACCAAGAACTGGGTTCGTGTTTTATTCCAATAACCTCAAACATCGACACTAACAAAAACACTTGGCATCTGTTTCCTGTTGAAAATGTGTTTCAGAGCAATATTTGCAAAACCCACTTCCCAACCATTGCTCTTAGATTTGATTGAGCAACAGTGAAACATGACATCTAAACATCCAAATCAGAGTGACAAGCTGTTCCAGGGCTGTGTAGGGCCCGATCCTTTATGCTTTGAAGTGTATGAGTACAAAGCTACAGAAACTACTTCTCCAGCGGATCCAGCACATGTTCTCTCCTCTTGTGCAGAGACAGTATGTTCCTGTTTTCCTGACTCAAATCTCAGCTGAGGTTCCCTTCCACACATGTTGGGGAATAATCCAAACATTGATGAGTTAACCTTTTAGTAAAGATGATGTGACATTAGACAAATCAAGGTACTTCATGGTAGGAGGAGGGCAGGGAATAGTTTCACTTTTTTAAAAAAATCAAACTCAGATCTTCATTCAGAACCTGAGAAAATCCTCCCTTAGAAATCTGGTGGGCAGGCCAGCAACTTCCACACGTCCAGTGGCATAGCCACCATGTTTGATCCAAAGCAAATCCACTACTAGTAAGTATTACTGTGTAGGTGGAGTGGGCTGAATAACAGCTCCCAGAGACTCAGACTTCCGAGTATGATCTCCTCTGAGCCTGCCTGTGTAATAAAGGTTTTTCTCCACCTCCAAAAAAAAAAAAAAAACAGCTCCCGGAGATATCAGGTCCTAATCCCAGGAACCTGTTAACTGATATGGAAAATGGATCCTTGCAGGTACAAATAAATTAGAGATCCTGTGGGGAAGATTATCCTGGGTTATCTGGAGGGCCCTAAATGCTATTACAAGTGACCTTATAAGAGACAGGCAGAGGCAAAAGGAGGAGGCCATGTGGCCACAGAGGCAGGGATCGAGAGAGAGGTGCCACCCACCAGAAGCTGTTGATAGTGACCACCACTCCTTGTAGGGGGCAAGGGATGGATTCTTCCCTGGATCTTCTAGCGGAAGTACAGCCCAGCTGACACTGTGGTTTCAGCCCATTCAAATCCACTTCAGACCTCAGGCCTCCAGAACTGAAAAGAATAAAAGTCTGCTTTGTTTTGTTTTGTTTTTTAAGCCAAGCACATTTGTGGTAATCTGGTACAGTGGTCGTAGGAAAATAATATCATGTATAAACAAAAGACAAATCACAATAGAGTCAAGAATTTAACAGTGAAAAGAATTTAATCCAATCCTCCCGCTGACCCTGTTTCACAGATTAGGAAACTACCCAGGGGAAGCCAAGTGGCATAATAAATCTACACACGGTGAGTGACAGAGGTAGGACACGGTCTTTCAAGTCTCATGCTCTTTCTTAAGAAGGGAAGTCAAACCTTTGGCCTGAAGGGTACCTTCCCAACCTTCCCAGGATATTTCCAGCGCTGACTGAGATTGTGTGATTCGGTGGCCACCCTCCCCATTTGACTATTCAAGTTTAAAGTAATTAACATTAAATTAAAAATTCAGTTCCTCATCTACCTACATCACCTTCCAAGAGCCCAACACTCACAAGTGACACAGAGCTACTAGATTCTATGGTGCAGACATATAACAAAGGTCTGGACAGTGCTGGACCAGACACACATCGGGCCCAGCAGACTTTTCCCCAGATTTATAAACTCCATGTTCAGTTTATTTATAAAGCATCCCCAATGCCTAGTACCCTGGCCGGAAAGGCTTGGGAATCCAGTCAGGACTGCAGTGAAGGTACCAGAGAGTTCAGCCCCTCACAGTTCTCCTTCCTGAGTAGGGCTTTCCTGTACTCTCGGGAATGCTGCAGTATTGACACTGACGCTTTCCTGGCTGGGCCCAGGAACAATACAGAGAGGCTGAGCACAACCATGCAGTGGGTAGCACTCTTTTTAATTTTTTAACTAGCTGTGACATTTTTTATTAGTACATGTTTGCTGTACATAATGTTTACAATCCTTGTGTAAAGTTGGTACACGTATAACATGTTTTCATTGCTTTTCTCATCTCTTTCCCCTCCCTCCATCTCTCGATCCATTTCCCATTTGAGAAAGATCTACCTCCCTGTTTCCTACCGCCTGTCTTATTTTGCTCCCTACCTATAACTTGGTTTCTCCTATGAGAGAAACCATGCTATGTGAGATTCCACCTTACCCCAGAAAGAATGACCATCATCAAGAAATTAAATAATAACAAGTGCTGGAGAGGTTGGGGGGTCCTTCTATACTGCTGGTGGAAGGTACATTAGTACAAACACTATGGAAATCAGTATGGAGATTCCTCAAAAACTAAAACTAGAAATTCCATTTGCCCTAGCTATTCTCCATCTAGGTATCTTCACCAAACAGTTAAAGACATCGTATCACAGTGATTCATGCACATCCATGTTTATAGCAGCACAACTCATAATAGCTAATCTTTGACATAGATAAAGAAAATGTGGTTTTTATACCCAACAGAGTACTACTCTGCTATAAAGGATAAACTTGAGACATTTGTGGGAAAATGGATGCACCTTGAGACCATAATGTTAAGTGAAATAAATCAGAATCACAAGGTATCACTCTTCTGAGACTCTCCTGGACCTGAGTCATGCTTCAGGTGAGTCTACAGAGCCCACAGAGCCCTAGCATGCAGGGCTACTCCCAGCTTGGTCTCAAGGGATGTCCTCTTGGGATTCCAAGAGAAGTCTAACACATAGGATCTCTGCTCCTCCTAGAAAGTTCCAACTAATATTTGTACAGTCCCTTATAGTTTAAAAGCAATGCCATGGTCTCCTTTGACTCACACAATTGGTGAGGCAGATTCCCTTGTGGCAGATGAGAAACTGAAGCTCCAAGGGGTGAGGTGATTTGACTTGCCAAAGACGTGTAGGGAGGCCAAGACTCCAGGTAAAAATTATCACTCTAAGGCTTGCCTTTCACACACACACCCTTCCTCTTCCTCCCTGTACGACACATAGATGCGTGGCCCAGCTTCTTCTTAGGCACACAGCTGGGTCTCACTTACTTGTGGCGCATGCTTCAGGCAATCAAAAGGTCCCTATGCTCAGTTTTTACATCTCGCTTTCTTCCCAGGGGAGGCTGAGAAGATCAATCAAGTCCCAAGAGAAATGAGACAAATGTTTGGAATCACGCTTTCAAGTAGTCAACTCCAGAAATACAAGAATTTTGTACAAATTAACTCACTGCGGTTCCTTATGCTGAAAAGGAAGGTTATGTATCTCAATTGAGACGGGGTTTGAAAGGCATTTGTCTGCATATGGTCAAACGCAGGAGTTTCAGTTTCCCCCCACTACACACACACACCTCCAGGTTCCCAAAGACATTCGCACAATGATAATTTCAACTCTACCCTTCACACTATATGGGATATAGGCTCATCTAATCCACACCACAAGTCTCTGAATGAGTTGCAATAATTACTTCCATTTCACAGCTGAAGAAACTGAGGTTCTGAGAGTTTAAGTAAACATCATGCCCTCTATCACCTCAGCTCCTAGGTGGCAGAGGTGGGGTTTGAATATAAATCTGATTCCAAACTCCTAACCATGGTGCCGTTCTGTCTCTCAAGAAAGTCTGAAAAGAACAATATAGATTCGTAGGAATTTTCATGAAGAATAAGGGCCTGGGGAGGAAAAAAAGCCTTCAAAATAGTGACAAGTAAGCTTCTAGGTGGACGTGCGTATTTCGTATTTGACCACAGTCCTCCTCCACACCTGGGATTTGCAGTGCCAACATTTTTTTTAAAGGCCGCCCTTTGTCTTCAGCACAAAAACAGAATTCTTCACAGTCAAAAAGACCAAAATAAATCTCAAGCATTTAAGAACCAGCAGTTCAGCCTTTTTCTCAGAAAAGTACGTATTCTGACAAGTTATATTTCTAGATGAAATTGCTTCTTGACTCTAAGAATCTAGGATTCTTCTTTAATTATTATGGAAATCTTCTAAGCATCCATTAAAGAGAGAAAAATATACTAAACTGTACTCGAGCTATCGTTCAGTTTCAACAGTCAATCAACTCATGGCCAATCTTGTTCTGTCTAAACCCCCACACCCAGTTTGTTTGCGGTGTGTATTTTGAAGTAAAATTCCACACATCTCTTGTTTCCCTTGTAAATACTTCAGTGCATCTTCAACTGATAAGGACATTCTTTAAAACATAATCACAATGTCATTATCACACTTAACAAAATTACAGTCATTTCTTAACATCACCTGAAACCCAATCATACTCAGACTTCTCCAAAGGCCTCAAAAATACCTTTTTTCTGTTGGTTTCTTCCCATCAGAACCCAGATTCACGTTGCTCTACATCTAAGGAGTATCCCTCCCTCCCGTTATTTGCTAAAGCAACTGGGTCATGTGTCCTATACGGTGTCATGCATTTTGGACTTCTGTGGTGGCCATGTGACTTGTTCCTCTAGCTCTCAGACTTTTGTAAACAGGAAGTTAACACTAGAGGCTTGATTAGATTCAGGAAAATATGACAGTTATTTCATTTTTTTAAAAAAGGAAGCGCATAATATGCAGTAGTCTCACTTGTAATGCTTTATGAACTCTAAATGTGATCAGTGTGTTCAGGGTTCATTGGTCTCGGTTTTTTTGTTAGTTTTTTTAGTTTTTTTAGTTTTTTTGAGATAAAGTCTCACTAAGTCACTAAATTCCACAGGCTGGGCTCAAACTTGCAATCCTCCTGCCTCAGGTTCCCAGGATGCTGAAAGTACAGATATGCACTATCCAGCCTGGGTGGATTCATCCATTTTATGGCGCTCCATCAACCTTTCTCTTCTACCTAATGGGTTTCAAACAGCCACTGATTTTAAACATCACCGATGTGCTTTTGTATTGGGGCTGTAAAATAGTTCTTTCCTATCAGTCTTTCTGTGTTTATTAGCTAAAATTCTTCAAGGAAGAATTTTCCCATTTTCAGCAATAAAAAGGAATAAAGTGTTGATACATGCTGTAATACAGATGGACCTTGAAAATATTATGCAGGGTGAAAGAAGCCAATCACAACAGATCACCCATTGTTCTTCCCCATTTATATAAAATGTTCAGAATGGGCAAATGTATAGAGTCTGAAAAGAGATTAGTGGCCTCTAGGGCATGGGAGGCAGAGAATGGGGACTGGCTTCTGTGGGAGATAAAAAAAATATTCCTGAATTAGGTTGCACTGGTGTTTGTACAACTTTGTGATCATAATAAAAAACATGAAGTTACATGGATGAACTGTATGTTATGCAAATTGTTATCTCAAGAAAAATGTTAACAGAACTTCTCTGCAGTAAACCATTTGGCTATTTGGAATACGATGTATACACAAAAATATAGTCAGGATAAATATTTCTTTTCCTTCAGGGTAATGGTTGGACAAACTAGCAGCCTTCTGATGAAAATGTCTTTTAATGCGTCTTCCTGAACTAAAGGATATTTACATATTCAGTGTGATTAAATCCATTATATTCATTGTGGGTCACTTCTGTGCTTTCTGGCACAAGATGGCCTGGGCCCACCATGACATGTCCTGCCCAGGAGCAGGGATCAGCCATTTCTCCAAAGGTGCCATGTTTTCTTCTGGGGACAATGATACTTAGCACTGTCTGAGTGTGTCAAGTGCTAATAATGACTGAGTTCTCATTGTTTTAAGGCCTTTTCAATGGATAGAACTAGGAAATGCTCTCTCTTTTTTTTAGAAAGAGAAAAACAATCTTAAATTCAAGAGGCACTGTATTTCCAATTCAAATGTGATAGTCCACTGTTCTAATCTAGACTTTTTTCTTGTACTTTGTTGCTCTTAGGTTGAAAATCTTGGTTTCTAGTGATACTAATATAAAGTACTTTTTTATTAGATATATGTGATATTTTATAGATACAATTTTAAGATAACAATATTACTTTTATTATAACAAATAGTCTTATATTTTTTGAAGTTTTTCCATCTTCAGAATGTATCTCCTAAGGATGCAGACTCAAAATATTGTGTTTGAACCTTTGAAACAGTAATCCTTTTCTCTCTGCAGTTATAAAATCAACTAGAAATATACTTAAGAGTTATTTATTTCAGTTCATTTCAGTTTTAGGGATTTCTTTTTCCTTTATGGATATATATAGTCTCACTATGTAGTCATATACTTGTACATGAAAAATCTCCTTCATTCCTTTCACAGCTGCATTGTACACCATTATTTATTCAACTCATGGCCAGCTGGTGGACAGAGAACCCTTCTTATTCTAATTGTAAATATCTAACAATGTAAGCACTCATAGAAAAATAGGGAAAAATAAATTTTAAAGTATACAGGCTAACAACTAATTCAACACTTAATGTATTCATTCATCCATTAAAGCTTAATTCTCCCAGTTAAAAAAGATTTACTGAGCACCAACCATGAACCAGCCACTAAGAGCTACAGATACAGACATGAACAAAAATGTAATGTGTCTGCCACAGGGGTTTCAGTCGAGATCACCCCAATTCTGTGTGTCATGGACAGACTGCTAAGTTGTCTGCTATTTGGACTAAACAATACTTCTAGCAGGTGAAACCATCAAAGTCACTTGTATGATCTCTAGGTAATTTTCCACTTTATTTTATTTTTGTATCTGCTTTAAAAAGATACCTTTCCAGGCTGGGGATTTAGCTCAGTAGTTCCGCTGCCTGCCTCAAAAGCACAAGGTCCCAAGTTTGATCCCCAGCACCAAAAAGAAAAGATGCCTTTCCCTATTTTGGCACAATCCAATTAGCAGATCAACAATCAGGGGATACTTGAAAATTTGGATGCTATTTGTGCAGAGAAAACACCCCAGGGAAACCCAGCCAGATCTAAAGCTGTCTGTATGGAATTACAGGATGCTCCTTGCCTGCTCAGTTCTCCACCCTCTAGAGCAGAAAAGAAAACAAATGCCCTGAGAATTTCATAAGGGCTTTCCTCTGGGGGCTAAGTGACTTTGCCGTCATATTCAATATGACAACATGCCATATTAACATTTCCTCAATGTATTACATCACCAATAAGGACCTTCCTCCAAAATTGCAGTACAAAGCCATTTCAGGGAAGTGCTTTAAAAAACTTAAAAATTAACTAGGGAAAAAAGGCTAAACTACAAATGATGACAAGAGTGAAAGAAGGTCATTAACCCCAAAGAAGTAATCATCCTATGGATGGTAGTTACATCAAAAATGATCTGAGTCAGTGCTTTTCAAATTTTTATATAACACAAATCATCTGGGGATTTTGCTAAAAGACTGCATTTCCAGTAAACTCTGCCAGATGATGTTGCAGATGCTGGCCCATGGACCACAGTTGAGTAGCAAGGGACCAATTGGACAAGGACATTTGAGAAGAGGTTGCTCCCTTAGGACTTCTCTACTTGGGCAAGGGATTTACCTTGGTGGTGCCGCCACCTGCCTCACAAGCACAAGGTCCTGAGTTCGATCCCTGGTACCAAAAATTAAATAAATAAATAAATAAATAAATAAATAGGACTTCTCTATTTGCCACACCCTCCCACCCACCATCCTCCCTACCCCTTTCACTCTACCTTCACCCTTTGGAGTGAGGAGTTAGTCCTCCAACTGTATAAAATACAATCATTCCTAGTGGGCAGAGTCTTTTTAAAATTTCATGTACAGGATATATTACTGGTAATATGACTCATTAGATCATCTGAAATCCCTCGTGTTACAAAGCCACCTAAAAATAATAGATAGTATATGTCAAAGTGTGTTTTTAAGGCATAATGGAACTCACAGAAAAGTAAAGAAAATTCTTGGAGGCTGAAAACAGAGAGAACTGCAAGCTAGAGGGGTAAGTGCACCAGCACTGAGTTTAAGAACTGAGGTTTTCACTCACACACTGGGAAAAGATGGAAGATGCTGGGTCTGTGAGGAATAGTGTAGGAAATAACAATACCACATAAAGTCATCACCACAAAGGGTAGCCCTCCTAGAAAGGCAACTAGCAAACCACCATGGACCTACCCAGGGAGAGCAGAGTAAAGTCTATGCAACTCATCCTAGACTCTGAGCAGAAAAAATTTCCCTGGAATTCATGATGATGAATATTTCCTCACCTAAACCTGAGTAATTTTTATTACCTACATGGTCCAGGGATCCCTGGACTGTAAAATTAACATAAAAAGTAGTTTTGATCTTCAAAAAGATTATATATCATGACAAAGTTGGCTTCATTCCAGGGATGCAAGGATGGTTCAATAAAAGCAAACCAATAAATGTAATACATCTCATAAGCAGAAGCAAGGATGAAAATCACACGACCATCTCAATAGATGCAGAAAAAGCCTTTAACAAAATTCAATATCCTTTTATGATAAAAAGTATGAAGAGGGCCAGGGATTTAGCTCAGTGGTTTCACTGCCTGTCTCGCAACACAAGGTCCTGAGTTTAATCCCCAGTACCAAAAAAAAAAAAATCAAAAAGCATGAAGAAAATAAGTATAGAAAGACCTTATCTCAATTGGATAAAAGCCATTTACGACAAACCTACTTCCAACATCCTATTAAATGCAGATGATAAGATCTTCTACATAAAAGATCCAAAAAAATCCACCAAAAAGACTCTTAGAATTAATAACAGAATTCAATAATGTAGCAGGATACAAAATCAACACACAAAAATCAATGGCAATCTTGTACACTCATCATGAACTCACTGAGAAAGAATTAGGGGGAAAATACCATTCATAATAGCACCAAGAAATATTACATACTTAGGAATTAACTCAAGGAAGTGAAAGACCCCTACAAAAAAATTACAGTACTCTGAAAAAGGAAACTGAAAAGGACATCAGAACATGGAAAGAAATCTCTTGTTTCTGGATAGCCAGAACCAATACAGTTAAAATGGACATGTTTCCAAAATTGCTATATAAATTTAAAGCAATTCCAATACAAATTCCAAAAGTATTCTTCACAGACTGGAGAAAACAATCCTAAAATTCATATGGAACCAGAAGAGACCCACAGTGGCAAAAGCAATCCTAAGTTTAAAAAAAAAGCAAACCCAGAAACATCACTATCCTGGACCTGATATTACAAATCTACTGTAATTTTTTTTAAAAAAAGCATAGTAGTAGCACAAAAACAGATCTGGGGATCAATGGAACAGAATAGAAGATGCAGAAACAACCCCAATGCATTCAACTATTTGCTCTTTGACAAAGAGAGCAAAAACACACACCGGAGGAAAGATAGTCTTTTTAATAATAGTGCTGGGAAAATTGGCTGTCTGCATGCAGCAGATTGACTCTAGACCCATATCTCAGCAAGTATTAAGCTAAAATCAAACTGGATCAAAGAACTAAATGTTAAACGAGAAATATTTAGCTTGCTAGAAGACAGAACTCTTTTTTTTTTTTTTGGTACCGGGGATTGAACTCAGGTCCTTGCGCTTGCTCAGCAGGCGGCAAAAACCCCTAAGCTAAATCCCCAGCCCTAGAAGACAGAACTCTTGAAGTTATAGGCATAGACAAGACTCTCGGAACAATTGCATGGGAAACATTTCCAAGAATTAACAAATTGGATCATATTAAATTAAAAACCTTTTTCACAGCAAAACAGAG